CCCCAAAACCCCAAAACCCCAAAACCCCAAAACCCCAAAAGGTCGAAATTGGTATAGTTGTTGAAAAATAAAACAGAAAATTTAAGTTTAGTATTAAAATTTATTTACTTTTTTTAATGGTCTTGAACAAGGCTAAAGAAAAGCCCTCAGTCTCAAAAAAATAAGTTATTAATTCCGCCAGATCTCCCTAATAAGAAATTAGATCTTTGCCAACTTCTACAATCAGTGGTCCTGGAATGACGATGAGATCGAAGATTTCTAATAATAGTAGCAACACATAGATTTAAAGAGACAGATTGAATTTCACGCACGATATGACCAAGAATATTGACACAAGGTAGAGCGTAGCTGTTCTTTCTAATTTTACCCCATTCAAATTCAAATAAAGCGATATCAGTAACGCTTCTACTTAAGCATAAAGTGTGAATAATAGGTTTGAAAAGTAAATAGGTATTTCAACTGCAGCAACTCCTGCTATGCATTCGAGTCTTAAGAAAATGCAATTCATATTTTGTTCAGGCAACGATATAGCAAATTAAGAAAACAGACAAACTTTAAAATCAGTAAGGGATAAAAATGAATCTAGCTTCAGTCGTCAAGGCTTTACTGTTGAAGCAGCAAAACATATTCCTAATAAAAAAATGTTTGAGAACAAAAACTTAGCAAATACCTCCCTGGGTTTTCACTCAAATATTTTAGGAAATTCTTAATAGCAGAATTTAGACAGCTCTATGAATTTCCATCCTAGATCAAGACCAGCAACTCCATCAAGAGACCCAATATTATAAGGAGATATATAGCTGATCACTTCTGGAAAGAAAAAAGTGAAAGATGAACATTCATAAAGCAGCAAGCATAATTCTAGGTACACTCCGCAATTACACTTCTATCAGGCTAATTAAGACATTACTCAATAACGAGAAGAGTTCTTGCAAAAGAAATTTCAGAGTAACGTTTTAAGTAGATAAACTCCAGTGTCAAATGTAATTGATAACATACTTAACGATATTTAACCATGGAAGAATGATAGTAAAAATATATTTAGCAATGTAAAGAGGAAGAGTGATGCATCCTGGACTAAACCATAGATTCAAGGTATTATTAGGGAAGTGGATAGTAGAGGTAGAAATACTTCAAGTAAAGAAGCAGAATTTACCTTTAAAATAACAAATCCTACCCTATAAAATGACTATAAGAAGAGATCATGTTCCAAAAGTATAGAAGAAAGCTAATCTAACTACAGACGTATAAAAGATTAGCATAGAACATCAAATGTCTTCAATTTAGCTTGAGGATCTATTATTTTAGAGTAATCAAAATGCCCAAATACTTCAAATTCAAGTTACTATCGATTAATAGAGCACACTTTGTTCATTATTTGTAAAATTTACAATAAAATAATCACGTAAATCCTTAATATAATTTCATGAGGGGTTTTGGGGTTTTGGGGTTTTGGGGTTTTGGGG